ACATGTTCAGGAAAATAGTTCTTAAAATAAATATATATACATTTACAATAAAGTGCATCTACCCTTTGTAATTTTAATTAGGTTGTCACAAGAAGATACATGTGTGTACAGAAAAATTCTCTTCAAGCCTTTTACACAACTGAAGATTCATTATCACACTCTCAACAATTGACTTCCCACACACCCTTGCCATACACGTGCAAATTTCAGTGCAAACTGTGTGGACTTCCACCTCTGCATTGAAGAGAACAATACGCTTTATTTAGCACAAGGCTTCCTCTCTCATTGTATTCATGATGGCTACTGGAAATGGACATACAGGTGTTGCTTTTGTGCTTCTGTTTGAAGTCTGGCTTTGATTACAGTGCATGGGCAATTTGGTGAAAAGGATTGACCTGGTTTTTCTCCAGAGGTGCATCCCCACTAGCCCGAACAAGCTTGAACTTGAGATGTAAGACAAATCAGTGCTTCTCGAGTAGTTACCGTAAATCTCCGTGTATAAGGCGCACTTTTTTGCCGCCGAAAAAAATTGAAAGTCGGGGGGTGCGTCTTATACACAGGTACAGAAAAAAAGAAGAATTTTTTTTCAATTTTTTTTTTTAGTTTCGATTTATGGCGCTATGCCTGGCAATGTCTCCAAGCTCAGTACTCAGTGTGTTGACTCACCACTTGGAAACTACAACAACACTGAAATTTGTCTGTCATCTTGGTTTGAAAGTAATTCTAATAGATCTCAATATGTAGTTTATAATAATAATTCCTCTAATTTTTTTTCTATAACAAATGGTGTACCACAAGGTTCTATCCTAGGTACTCTATTGTTTTTAATTTACATTAATGATCTTACACATTCTTCTAAAAACGACATTGTTACTATTATTTGTGACAAGTTCATAAGCACAAATCAGCGCCTTCAACTGTACCTCGATGTTAAATGAAGGTCCTTCCCCGCGTGGGTTCTCGGCAAAAAAACAACAACAACAAGCAACAACAACAAAAGACAGATTTTTTGTTGTTTTTGTTTTCCCCCCAAAATAGGGAGATTTACGGTATCTGAGTTTGAAGTTCCCCCATGTCTATTAGCCCAGGTCAAGCCATCTTGCTTGTTTGAGGATTCAGCTTGAGCTTCAAGCATATATATATAGATTGAGTGCTTTTTCATCAGCAAATAAATATCCTGCTAATTTACCAAATAGCAGGTTATTTCTTGAACCCCTTATTTGCTACATATAATAGCATGTTCTAATATCCTGCATACAAATGTGGAATTTTGATATATACTATTTGCGTTTTCACTGCGAATAGGCTTGAGCTAGCTATGATTGGATAAATAAGTGGGCTATTTGAACACTCAGGCTAATGGAAACAACCCTCTGAAGACAGTAGGCCCCTCAACTATTTACCATGGCTATTCATCCTCCTGGTAAACTACCCATGAAGCCGTTTTCCGCGGGGAATATGCATGCTTTCTCTTTCCCAAACTTACCTGTGTATTGCAGGTTCGGTTGAATAAAATCTAAGCCTACAAACTACAAAAGGTTGTTTTCTCCCCCCATTTAAAGGAAAATAAACCTTCTATTCATTGTGAAAGAAGCTGAATGGTCAATAATGACTTGGGAATATATAATAATAGGATGAGTCATACCTATCTCAAATTAAATCTTTTGTGTCAATGGCAATTATTGTAAGCCATGTAATCATTCCCACATACTTTGTACCTGACATATTGTTATTGATTGGAATTTTCAGAATACACAAACAGAACATATATGAAGCAGAGGGAGACTCATGCTACGGAACAACAGGTCCAGTCAGTATGGCTGAGATTTGTCAAAATTCTTTCCAACACAGATCACAGAAGGCATGAATTCTCCCTAAATTGTAGGTGCAAGAAAAGCATAAATGTAATATCATTTACCCATTCCCTTTCTTTAATAACTTTAGTATTTCATAGTTTGTTGACTTTTAGTCATTCCTCCCCATCTTTATTTTTACTTCTTTTCATTGCCTTGATATTACCTCTCCTTCCCCCCCCTTCCCCCCCCCCCCCCACAAAAAAGATAATGGCAAAGTTATTGGAAGATAACTATCCATAATATACAATATAAATGAAATCCAATCCCAAAGTCATCCAGTTAAACACGAGAGCTTTTCCTCCCCCAAACCGCCACAGTAATAAAAACATCTACTGTTATCATTTTTCAATCCAGTCGGAGCCCTGGCATCACTGCAATTTTCTCAACGTCTGTTTTCCCTTGAGGCATACCATGACATTTCAGATTGTGATATGGAAAAAAAAAGTGTTACTCTGCAAATGTATGGTATGCATTACAGTCAGACTTCTAGGACGATGTTCTGGATACTGGCGGAGGTGTTAGCAATATTTCCACACTGCCCGCTGGGGGATACTGATTTTAACATTATGCAACTGGTTATGCCCAAACACGGTTATTTGGTATGTTACAGGTAAGAGGAGATGTCAGAGGGATGTTTCCTGAATTCATTTCTTTTGAATTTTCTCTTTATTTGAAGAAAAAAAATGGAACTAGTTATACTCTGACATGATTCGGGGTGTGCTAAAGGTATTAAGGGGAGTTGTCAGAGTTATATTTCCTGAATTCATTGTTTCCTTCCTAATTTCTCTTGGCCTATTTGTTTTCTTTTTTAATGAGGTTGCATTTAATGAAAAAACTATGCTCAGACAGTTTTCCACAGTTACTAACCTTTACCTTCCACATATTTTTTCATGGACTGGTATTAAATGGCTGAAAGTTTGGCCTTTATCTTAAATTTCCTTATATGAAGAAAACTACTAAGTTTGACAAAAAAAGTTTGCTTCAGATGTGCTTGAATTTCAAAGTCCCATCTGTCAGAAGCTTTCAATGATTTCCATTTAGTCACATTGTTGATTTCTCAGGGGAAGAAGTTTCATAACAATTCAAAGAATGAGGTGCGTTACATCCTCTTTTCAAAAAAGAATGAGCTAGAATTGTACCAAACTTTCCAGAAGATCATTTGACAGATCTTTTCTCTGGATCATAAAAGCATGAAATTGTCTGTGGGGCAGGGCTGAAATTGAAAAACAAAACCTCCAGACAGATGCGCAAACAGAACTTGATAGGCCTTTTTTATCTTCCCTCTAGAGATCCAATGAATTCCTCCTCGGGATTGCATTTCGATTGGAAACAATCATAATACGTCCTGTGTTTGCCAAACCACTCTCCAATCAACAATGCCATCATTCTAAGCCAGGCTAGGAGATGAAATTAATTTGTCTCTTCAATACCAAGTCCCAGGAAAGGCATAAATTCACAGAAATCGCTTCTTTTTTCTTACTCCTGGATTTCAGCAAATATGCACGGGCACGGCAGCACTGTCTTAATGCTAAGAGCGTACCCATAAGCCCTCAATGAGTAGATGCGGATCAATGCTCTCGTTTTGTTTGCCCAACGCCTCCCTGGTCCACCCAGAGGATTGCATCCCTTTTTCTAGAAAGATTGTTCATCCCTTGTGGGTCATCTGCTGCACTTCGCTTCACGTCAAGCCCCAAGCAGGGACTATACGTCAGCTACACTTAAAGCGTTTATACGAGTGGCATCACTTGAGTGTGTCTGTGTGTGCGAGTGCATGACTGGCTGGCTGGCTGGCTGGCTATACGCACAACCCAATTAGGAGTATTTAATTGGGTCATGCAATTTTAATGAGCAGGGAGGGCAAAAGATCAGTTAATTTCATGCATCTGTCCTGCACTTGCACTTTTAGTTCTTCCATTACTCAAAGAGCAACGCATGAAAATGTTTATGCAACCAACATCCAGCATGCATCTTTAATGCATGTTACTGTTCTGCTTCATATCCTGTTTAAAGTCAATATTGCATCCATGAGACCAATAAAATTTCACACATCAATGTGACAATGTAATTCATCAAGATGATGCCAAAGAAAAAAGAAGAAGATGGATAACAGATACTTTCTTGAGATTGATGACAGTATCTTCAGAACCTGAGGTACTCCAAGAATTTCAGGCATGTCTATGCTGTTTATAAATCTATTTCAACAGAAAAATAGACAGAGTGCCGTCATCTCAGCAGATAGATAAGGTCACTCGTTAATAAATATTTCTAGATGCCCCAAGACAGCAGTAATATAAAATAGATTACAACTTATAGCAAAATAAACCTTTCGCAAAAAGTATTTTCCTTCAGTCACCTGGAGTTACAAAATAGATTGATATTGATAGGGAGCCTGAATTATGACAAAAACATGAATTCAGCTTCTGAGTTCTTTTCAACCATAATGCATGTCTTCAATAAATGAGGTACATGTATGTCTCCATTATAGTAAGATGATATCGATGTCAAAAAGCTACATTTTCCTTTCCATTTATGACCGAAATTGTTATATTGTGTGTGCAGCGTGAAACTGGTATTTTGCACTGCTTCTACCCAAGTAGGCATCTCCAGTAGGCATCTCCAGTAGGAATATCTTGCACTTACAAAGTTCTGTATATTTTACAAACTTTGATGCGAAAAGTTATATCCTCCAGACCCATAGCCCTTATGGGATGAACAAAGTGAGTGAGAAGGGGTTGCACTCAGCAAAGAAGATACCAGTTACTATAAAATGGAAGTAATCTTCTTTGAGAAAGGAGAGTATTTTTGAGAGTCAAATCTGACCAGGGATTGAACAAGGAAGACTTTCCCTTCATGGAGGAGGAGGCATGATGGGTTAGTGGTAGAGCAGTGATCTTAGAACCTTGAGGACTGTGGTTCAAAAGCATGTCAATGCACCAGTGCCCTTAGGTAAGTTACTAATCCATATTATTGAGTAATGAAGATGGAACATACATTTACAAGCTGTACGTCCTCCTAGCTGCTCATGCTCAATCATCCATTAAGCAATTAGAAGTGAGAAAAAAAGAACATAGGAAGATTAAAAGACATAAAGAGGAGACATGAACAGGGAATGTGGGATCGACTCCACACCATCACTGCACTCACCGATATTATCTAGTTTATGAAGATTGGGTAATATCCTAAGGACGGTGGCTCTGTAGTTATCTCCTGCGGCACAGGGGTTGTCTGCAAGCCACAGTACCCTGAGCTTGGGCAGGTTCCTCAGGAACCAGACTTCTGACAGGCTTGCGATGCAGTTTCTCCTGACGTACAGCTCTGTCAGGTTGCAACAGAAGCCGAAGTCTTCTAACGTTGTGATGCTGTTCACGCTCAAGCTGATCACCTCAATGTTGGGCATCTGCTGGAATATTGACACCTGTCAAAGAAATGAAAAAGTGAAAAAACATGATTGCAAATGTGATGCATTGCAGCAAAGGTTTAAATGGGGAGTCCACCCTGATAATTAGCTGTTATTGATAACAGCAACAAAATAAAGTCAGTTTGAGCAATATCTGAATAGAAGTAGAAAAAGTTATGAATTTTTGAAGTTGTCATCAGTGAAGCACGAATCAGCCAACACTGTGACATATCTTGCGAGGTCCTCTCTAATTTGCTCTGTATAGAGAATTCATAAACTTTCATTTTCTTAGTTTTTTTTATATGATGGAATAGATTTGTTTCATACAGGGGTTGCATAGGAAAAAATATGCAATACAATTTATGGTGCATGTATGAGTATGATTGAAAATTTTCTTTTGAGAAAATAAAATATATGATTTTGTTGTTGTTTTGTACAGAGCAAATAGGACGGAACCGTCTCAGATTTGTGTTTGATTGATACAGTGTAGCAGCTTTAAAAATTCATAAGTTTTCTACTTTTAATCAGATTTTGTTCCAACTTTCACTGACCAGTCCCTTTCATTGATATGCTTCTATTAAAAACAATGTAATATCAGGTTGAACTTCCCCTTTAAAGGTAATATCTCTAACATTTCTGAAGGCTTAACAAACAAAAAGGAATAACAATCGAGGTACAGGGACTGATTGATAAGTTATTTCATTTCAACTTTTGATAATACATCGCACATATGCTTTATGCGGCAGAAAGAGTTAGCCTCCATATAGGTGATGGCTAATAGTCTTTTTTGTCATAAAGAAGAAAAGAAACTTAACTGTAAACTCATGCTATTAAGTCTTCACCTTGTCAGTATAAGCATCAAAGATGCATCAACCTTGTCACTGCTAAGAACCTTCCCCCAAAGAGCAGTCTCTTATATTCAATGAAACACCCAATTTAACACGTTTCTTGGTGTGCACATTCTCTCTATAAATATTTTACCTTGCTTACAATACATCATTCTACCTGCCAGTTCCGTAGGTACATAGGTTTTAACCCCGCAAATAGATTTGTCATCCTAATTCCTGTACAATGTGTTGAACATGTTCAAGAGACAGAACTACTTGCACAGTTAAAAGTATTTACATAGACTAGCATAAGGTGCACTGCTACAACACCAACAGACACAAAGCCAATTACAATTCCTTCATTTTTTTTGTCTTGATATTGTAGTTTATAATAATAGTTTTATTTTTGTCCAGCATGATCGACATGTATAACTGAGGCATTTATATTGATACATGTAGTATCAATATTTTCAACCAATTTTTTTTATCAGAATGAATTTGGGATAAGATATCCACTCGATTTACTTTTTCAGTTGGTCTTTCAATAAAAGCCATTTTCTTTTCTTTTTTTCTTTCTTTGTATTTAAAAAATCGTTATCATTTTTGGGGTATCAGGATTGGTTGTGGACAAGATAATCAACTCAAATGACCTTCTTCTTTCTTCCTTCATTACTTTTACTGTGATTGCTATTATCATTGTCTTTGTTATTAACATTATTTTAAATATCATTATTATACTTGCTATTATTATTGTACTTATTATTATCATTAATATCATTATCTCACACAACTGTGTCGGTAAATGGCCTTTTCCTTTGCTAAGAAGGTACGTGTGACAGTTAGACAGCTGACGCCCCATGTTCCCTAGCTGATGAATAAATCAAGGAGGACCTCCTGAACTATTTACAGGGGTGTCATACCAGCCACTTGGAAGGCTTTCACAACGGTCTCTCCCCCCCCCCCCCCCAAGGGCTCAACATAAATCATCACCTTCAATCTGGTTTAATAATGGTACATTAGAATACACGACTATCTCTTAAAGTATAAGGAATGTTCTCATGTATTTGTAAGTTGATACACAAATCTGAAAGCTAAATCTCTGTACAAACTGCATGCAGCAGAAAAGATGTAATCATGAATTTTGTTTTGTAATACCTGTGTTGGTAAGTGAATAAGTTTCTGACCTATCTATTTGCTTCCTTAATTCTGCCTGGCGGAATATAAATTCAATAATTGTTTAAAAAGTTAGATAAATGGCCTAGCTCTTGATTTAATGTTGCCTCTCATAACAAAATATTTATATTCATGGATGAAAAGAAATAGCGGACATACGTGTGCATGCATTATGCTTTGTTGAAGTCAACACTTTCTGAAAAACACTCATCATTCAAAATAATGACAATCATTTTCTAGATGAGACCATAGAATGTGCACTTTTCATCAACTTGTGACATCTGTCAAAAGTGCTCGAAAAGTGTAATACTTCTCTCAAAGTGCCATCTGCCAGTTACTTAACGACTCTGACTTTGACATAAGGATCCATAAATCTCAATAAAGCATGGAAATTCATGCTTGTTTTGATACTTACTAGGCATTCAAATTGTCCCAAGAATGCTTTACGACACCCACCTCTGTTGTTTTACGACCAATTGAAATAAATGTTTGCAAATGTTGTGTAAGGATCTACATATCATTTCTCGCACAATGTAAATCTTGGGAATGATCAGGAATGCCTTCATATGAACAAGCCCATCGTAACACTTTCACAGTGCCTACAACCCAATCATTTACAACAATTCAAAATATCTTTCTGCGTTGATACACTTTAAGTACTTTAAATCTATCTTGTAAAAGAAAAGTGCTTTACTTAACTCACAGGGTCCATGTCAAAGCATGAGCAAGTACAGGGTGTGCAAATATTTGATCTCCACTTGGCTCATATTACGAGAGCAAACAAGACTCATTTCAAACACCATACTGGTTATTTTCATCTCCTTGGCTATGTATACATGTCAGTGTAGAAAATGGGCAAGAGATTGATTTATAAAGGAGTCAAAATGAGAACAGGGTACACATTAGTTTTAAGAACTGAGTTCTTGATGTGGAAGATGACTTATGATTGGTGAAGGAGTTTGGAATACATGGGGATTAATTTTTAGAAATGAGGGCTACATTAAATGAAGGATACATTTGAAAGTAATGGTAAAGCTCCATTATATGACATTTAAGAGGAATGAAGGCTTTGGATATTAAAGGGACTATATAACATTATTTTTCTTATATTATATATATATATATTAAGGCAAATTAATGAAAGTTTAAATTTAATTCACAAATATATATGTTTAGGTTTTACAAGAGTATTTTACAATAAAATATACAAGAAAAAAATACTTACATCTGTAAGACCTCCACCCCTGCAGATAGGAGAGACAAAATGGGAGAAAAGGAAAAATACAATTAGGCGATGTTTACAAATATTTACATGTAATATAAAAGAGTAAAATTTGACCCAGACGTGTATGCTACATGTAATACCTGAAAAGTATTTTTTATGAATAAAAAACCCAACATACTTTCTTTCACAAACAAGATACAAGAAAGTGTTCCAAGCTTCTATATGATACAACAGATCAGTGAGGAGAGTCTCTCCAGTTTCAATGTATCACCTCCAGCCCCAATAATATGAATATATTACATTAAATTGTAAAAAGAATTCTTCATTTCGTACTTCACAGCATCCTACAAAAGATAAGTGAACTGTAACTCCCAAATGATTGAGGCTCTGATCACTATCAAACCACTGTTAATACTGTTGGTTCAAAGGTCATGTATGGAAAAAGAAGAAGTTTAATATTACTATACGGGTGAATAGGCCATACTTTTGGGCCTCCTTTGAAGTTGTTGAGTAGCTTTGAACTTTGATATCCATCATTTTCCTTTCTTTTGTGCATGTAATGTCACACCTTTCATCTGTTAAAGATGTAACTTGTATATTGTTGCTTGCAATGATTTATGGCGTGTTATACTTCGCTTTGTCAAAATCCAGAAAACATTGTTTGTGCCTCCTATAGCTCAAAAAGTATTGTTCCTGGCCTAAACCAGAGAATATTCTACATGTCACATCATTCATCACATCAGCCATTGTGCTGCTGTAGAACTTGGGAGAGTATTTTTCTTAAATGCTACTTTTTAAAACTCATGTTATTCTGGTTGAATTCATAAGACCATTCTGCCAGTTTTCCCAAAGAATTTCAAATGTCTTTGAATTTTCTCTCAGTTTTGTTGTTGTTGTTGTTTTTTTTTTAGGGGGAGGAGCTCCTACACATGCACATCTTAGCCATGTTAGTGGACTTCATGGTAGGTAAGTGGAGAAAAAGATTGTCAAAATTTTCCCCATGCACACAGATGCATGTGCCTATCGATCGATCGTGAGACTATATATCTCCCAACCCAATCATAAGCCTGAAGATTCTAACGGTGTCACAGTCGTATTACTGGCTGAGGGGGCTGAAATAGAGGCCAATCAGGGCTGTATCATAGAGAGAAACTATCTGCAATAACAGCCTCAAGGCTTTGGCAATTTAATTTCAGGGAGGATAGCTGTAAGTGAAGAAGACTCTAAGGGTTTGATTGGGCAGGCTTAATTAAAGAGAGAAGGGAGGTGGGATTTACTGGCATACGATAAATGTGCTAACGGTGTTCACACTGAGTAATAGCTTTCAGAAATATAAAAACATGCCAAATTTAATAATACAGTATATTCAAAGCGATTGGAACTTTTTATTCTCATGTTGTTCAAAAGTAAGCAGCCTACTATCCATCCCATTTTGTTGCTTGAATTTTCAAAATCCAAGTCAGTAGGCTTACATTGATGTAGACTGTTACAAGTCAACATGATGTTTACCACTGAATACCAGCATAAGTTATAAATTCAAATACATGTATTATTCAATAAATACAATGGGTTTGTACTGTTTAAAAATGTATTCTTGAACTTTTGAGAATGAAACTCTCTGGAAGATTAACAAAAGATAATGTGAACGGCTTTGTGTATGTTTGATGAGGTGTGTATGTGTGAACTACCCACTTACAGAACCAATGGGCCATGCATGCACGCACTCTTTACACCCTGGGAATCCCATTGAAAATGTGTTGTTTTGACATTGTTCGTAATCAAGGATTCTTTATCATCACTTGGTCACGTTGAACTACATGTAGTATCATCAGGAAGGTATAACAGGTCTCTAGGATCATTATTACATATGTACTAAGGCCTATTCAGATGAAGAAAATCAAGCTATGAGTGAATGAATGGCACAAGAAAGAGTTGTAGAGGTAAACAAGGATACATCTGGGTGCATGTATGTTCACAGGCCAGAACATGACTTGCAGTTTGTGTGTTACAGTATATTTATATATGCATGTTGTCTATCCTTTTTTTATATATTTTTTTTTTACATTAACAGATTATATTCTGTGTGTGCTTGACTTACTGTGACTAGAGAATATGCAACTAGCGATAGAAAAATGGAGAACTCACAATTATATGAACATTTCTGATCCACAAAAATAGAATCTTAACAGAAAGGCAAAAATATTCAGAATTACCAGGGTAGCTCTGGATTCTCAACAGTAGCTGACAAGTAGTCAATAGCCAACTGATGGATGGATTGTCAACAAAAAAATTAAATTATCAAAAAGAAGAAGATAAAAAGTTAGCAAAAGAAATAGATACCATGTTCTATGAAGTCTTATCCCTACAGGCAAATAGTAGTACAGCATGCCAATCAATAACTCTTGAATAATTTTGTTTCACTTGGCATTGAATCAGTGCCATTGGAATACTAAGGTAAATGTAGAGGCTCCTCTTCACAGACATTTCTCAGATTAGGGGTATCTTTTTTTAACATATGATATATTCCTTTTTTTCTTTAAAATTTTTTGTTTGTAGTAGTATTGAAGAAGAGGCACGTTTGTAATAATATCAAATCACCTCTTTTGACAGGTCTTTCATTTACCATTTTCTTACAATGAAATTCTCTTTAATCATCAACTTCATATTCCATGTACCCGAACATGTAGGTCTACCATGGATATGTTTCCATGGGTCTACTACCTTACATGTAGTCCACACCTGAGCCAGGCCTGCGCTATATGGGTTATTGGGCATGAAATGAAAAAGATCAGTAGTGAAAGAATTTCTAACAGGTCAAGTTACAATCTCCTGCCTAGATCGGCCTTGCAGCGGGAATTCCATCCAAATCTAGCAGAAATCTTAGCGGATTGTCTTTTGCTAATGACCCATGGACAGGGTCTATGAACTTGATGTAGGTCTACCTCACCAACCAGAGGGAAACCATTCCAGGGCATGCTAATGGCTTTGGAATTCATGCTGGCATACTTGGTCTGATATCAAAGACACAATTGGTGATTTTACTAACAATATTCACATATCTACGCTTTTGGACAGGTATATTATCTATCAAATTTTTTCAATTTGTCAAAAGTTATGTTGGCAAAGTTTCACTCATGTAGGTGAAACTTGATTCATATATTTGTGAATCCAACAACAAACTTGACAGGTAAAATTTTGTTAAAATATAATAACAATAATAAAAACAGTGCTTACAAATATGAGCCCCCACGTATCTAAGGTTCATCCTGCTTAACTAAAGAATTTGCTTTACCATTCCTAGATTTGTGAACCATTGTGCATCTCTTTTTATGTCACCATCCCGACCAACAGCCTGGAAGTTTGTATCCATGGTTACTGCTGTGTCTTCAAGTTCAAGACTACGAGTAAGCGGGCAGGCGAGGAGGGTCTTAGGTTAGGAGGGTCTGAGAGAAGCAAAGCCAATGGGGGTCACAGTGTAAACCTGGCTGAAGCCTTGACCTTAGCTGACACTGCAGGTGCCTCAGGGTCTAAGATCACTCCAGTTGGACTCTATCAAGTGGTTGCTCTACACATAGTATGGTTGTTTCAGTTATGTTATGCCCTTGATCATGTACTTCACTTACAAAGACTACTACTAGAGAATTATCTCAGCTCAGGAGAGTAGAAGTAGGCCTGTTAATCAATGTTAATAATGTAATACCTGAATAAATGGTTATTGCCAGGTCTCTCGGCTACCATTTGTTTAACAAGTAGGTCAACATACATTGTTCATAGCAGGTAAAACTTTATATTTAGATTCATAAAAACAGGAAAGCTCTCGACTTGAAACTAAAAGCCTTTCAGGAAATCATAAATCTATTCTTAACTTGGTAAATACTGTAACCATACAAAATGAAAATTGATTTGAGATATAATTTAACATGTGAACTGGGCCATTTAAATATAATCATAAGGTATGAGCACATCGACCCACCCATGCATACCTGACATCATCGACGCAGAGTATCTTGTTTCTATCCCTTCTACAGAAATACACCCTTCATTGCACAAGTGTCCCAACAAGGACCCATAAATCTGAAAAATAGGCCGGATTATACTGAAATTGATATCTGGGGGAGAAATATTGGCATATTTCCATCCTGAGGAATCCATGAGAATTTTGTCAAGCCCCACCAAGATGCTATAAAGGTCACCATTCTGCACTATCCAAAATTTGTAGTCTATCTCAGTGTGATATTTGCACATAAAGTAAACAGAGGAGCACTACAGAGCTAAAACAATTTCAGCTTGTCAAAGAATACATATGCACAAGTACATGAGTGAAGTACAATACATACATCTCAAGCAATCATTCTCAAATTGAATTCTGAGAGAGGAACCGCAAATTGTTTTGGCCTTTCCCTCCATGACATTTATCCATCAAAGTGCCTGGAATATTGGCTGTGTTTTGAAAATCCATTTGTCTATTGCCAGGTTCTAATATTGTGCGTACACAACGAAGGGTGTTTTTGTCAGGCACACAAAATTTACATTGCAAGCGGATCACAAAATAAGTGAGCGGAATATGAGAAAGAAGGTATTCAATTGGCAATGACATTCATATTGCATTATCAAATAAAAGTTCAAGGCTATTTCAAACTTTTGATATGTAAACAATACATGCACTTCTCAGAATTTCAGTTAGTTGATATCATAACATGGTTCAACATGACCAAGTTTCTCTTACATAGTTGATAATGTAGTAGGTCCATAGTGAAACTAGCAGGTTTATTTGTTGATGTTTATTATTAAGTTACAAAAATAAAAATGTGTGGTTATTTAAATATGGTAATGTACTGCCATGTTTTAAAGTACTCCTGTGTATTATGAAAATTCACAAAGAAATTCAAATAGATAATCTAAATATGTGTTTTAAAGCCATATAATATGCGCTAATGATAATCACTGTGCCTGAACCTTTATAATTCATCATTTCAAAAAGTTTAGTTAGAACAGACACCCGAGAAGACTTTAAGATGT